CTAGAAAGAGATGCTCATACTAAGCAGTGGGATTCGTCCACACCAGCCATCCCTCCTTCACAATGCTGGCCCTACTGGTATAGCACCTGTGTTCTCTAGTAGTTACCTCATTCTTTTAAATCCCCCTCTTCGAAGGTGGGCGAGATTTAGGTTTAAAGAAGCAAATTGCTTTAAGTCACTAACATGAATAAAAGCTACTGCCCCCAAATATAGTAGACAAATATAACACTAAATATAATATAGTGTTATTAAATTCCACAGAAGGCAAACCAAAAGGAATATTTTTTCTTAAATGGTATCTTTCTCAACATGACTCATTAAAAACGGCTGTTTTGCGGCTCCACTTAAAATCATCTCTAGCAGTACCAGTGGTGTATGCCTTGCACTTTGGGGAAAACTGAACTAAACGGATAATGATACAGTACTGTGATGTAAGTCAAATTACAGCATAGGCTATAAAATTCAAATTACTAACCCTTCAGGCAGGAAGCATGATGCATTAACAGAGTCTGCCTGAGATTCTTGGACAGCAAGATAGTACTGTGGGGTAATTAATACCTTTTCTTACATATCTGGAGGTCGTTTCCCTCAAACAGCTAAAAATCAGTGAGCAGAGAAAACAGACATAGAGTCCAGGCATTAAAGTATTTGCATTTTACCACAGAAAACTGCTTCAGACCTTAATTCAAGGCCGTATGGTTTCTTCAGGCATTTTAACACCATATTCAGATACCAATTTTATACAGTCCAGGCAGCTTTTAATCTGTGTTCATGGGAAACACTCATTTTTTTAATTCCAAGTTTATTTTAGCTATTTGCCTGATTAAAAAACTAATCCACTGTCAGAACATGAGAAATCTGCCACTTTCCCTGCCTCTCTCTGGGTCTGTAGGAAGCGATGTCTTGCCCCCCTCCTCCCCAGGATATGGCCCAACGCTGCCAGGAGAGGCCTGTCCATAGCTGGCCTGGTGCTGAGAAGCAAAGCCAGGGCTCCCACCCAGAGTCCTGCCTGCCAGGCACGTCCAGCCATTTTGGCAGCAAAACCATGCTCATCCCAAGCCTCTCTCCCTTTACCTATATATAACCTCCAAACACCACTCTTTCTTCCTAAGCTCACTGTTCTTTCTAATACAACACACGATCCCCTTGACTTTGTGCCTGAAGTAGCAGAAAACAAAGCCACAAAAGTCAGGGTTTGGAGGTCTTGGCGGTTCCTCTTGGCGTAGGACATTAGCCTGTAAAAACTTCTCCCCTCCTCATTGATAGATTTTTCTGGAAACAAACACAAAACTTGTCTTTTCTCCCTCACTTGAGCTAGGGAACACCAGGACAGGTCTAATTTTGCTCCTGGAATGAAAGCCAACTTGAGCTTAGGTCAGTAATAGCATCTTACCCTTTAACCAGCAATATCCTGAAGGTTTCCTACCTTCCATGTGAGAAGGTGCAGGGCTGCTGGGAGCTGAGCAAAGTCATGCTCATAACCACATGAAGCTGCTGAAGGAACATTAGTAGTGAATTTGTGGGTAGCGATGGCTCAGATCTTGCTACTTGGCATGTTCGGTGGGATCAACAGGGTTGGCAGCCTCTGGGGGCTTCTTAGCAATGCAAAGTCTCAAGCCCTTCTCCAGACTTACTGCATCAGAATCCATATTTTAACGAAATCCTATGGTAATTCATTGCATGTTCAGGTTTGACAAGCATTAATCCTATGACTTGAGTTGTCGGGTATTAACACCTTGCCTTCCTCCTCCATGGTCAAGCAATGCTCTCTGGAAAATCAGGAACTGAGGAAGCCAATAAAGGTCCTACCATGACAGAGACAGCCCTGGCTGTGGATCTGCTACTACTCAGGGACTGGGCAGGGACTCAAAAGAACAGCCTCTCTGATCATGGAGGAGCAGCTTCTCAGCAGAAGCAACAGAAAACTAGAGGCTCCAACAGGCCTCCAGACATAAGCCCAAACCCTCACAAATGCCTGTATCCATACAAACTAGTGGTTTCACAATGCCTCTCAGGCTAGAGACGTTGCAACTTTTATTTACCTACTCAGTTGCCTAGGAAATTCACATTAATGTGATTTTATCTGCAATAATAATAATAATAATAGTAATAATAATAATGAGATGGAAGAGTGAGATTTGCCTGACCTGGAAATAGCTCAAGACCCATGTTCCTGTTGGTTACACTAAATGATGACCTTGTTCTGCTCTGTCCACATACACCGCACACACACATACAACACACACTCACAATACACCACATACATACCATACACACACACACACACACACACACACACCACACACATACACACACACATCCATGCTATTGAGCCAGAGTAAGGCACTAACCAATAGGGGGAAGGGGGCAGTTGACTCCCCTCAGCATTTCTAAATGAGCCTGATAAGAAGGTGACAGGATCTGCAGGATCTTTCACAAAACTCCCAACACCTACAGAAGGAAAGGAAACATTTTGTGTCCTGACAACTGACTTCGGCGAAAGCTTAATTTCTTTCATCAGCATGCTGGAAGGTATAAAGGGACACATGCAAGGAAGCATGTAGCAGAATGTTTGGCAAGAAATAACTGATGTGAGAAGTGGTAAACTGGGGAGCTGCAAACGGCAACTGTCCACAGAGCACCCGGTCACGTCAAACTGAGCATCTTCACGCTCTACGTGTCCCCTCTCCCAAATAATTAAAGCCAGTACTTCTCCTTCTTCTCAAGGATTTCGGACCCCTGCTTATTTTCCCTTCTAATGCCAGTTTCAAAACTGCTCTTCTATTTCTTCAGATCGTGTGATCTCAGTGACCGTTTTCCTAAGTCACTGCTTCCTTGCAGAATTAATAGCCAGCTACTCTCTATAACAGAGATAACTTCTGCGACAAGGGAGAGCAGTTTCAATGATATGTACTTTAGATAAATGCGACATAGGATAGCCTTAGTGGCGATTCTGGCCTCAGACGCCTGTCCCATGCCATACTCCGGGTATAAGGGAAGCCGCCACACCTGTGCTGAGGGGCAGGGCCAAGCTTTGCATTGCTCGCCACCCCTGTCCTGGGGCAGCCGATTCCTAGGGTGTCCAGGGACCTGGAGTTTATAGGGTTTATATTTGGCTTAAAAAGATGAGCTGGGTCAACCATTCCTCACTTAGAAATCTGTCACTAGCAAATAGATGCCACAGCAGGGGCAGAAGCCAAAAAGTGCATGGAAAGAGACCACAACCACTTGGGCCTGGAGCGGCCAGTTCCAAGAGAGCAGATCGGCAGGGAGGGAAGAACAGAGCACAGACCAGCAGAAGCAGACACGCTGTAAGACAGAGAGAGGCCATGAAACTCCAAAGGTGGTATCAGATGCCGGCTCCCAGCCAATGCTTTTGAAATGTTAGCTCCATCCCCGTCCTTACAATCGAATACCCTCTACCTAAACAGATTTGGGTCCTCTGCAACCAAATAAGCCACTCCAAAACGCACTAAATAAATGAATTTATTTTTTATTTTAAAAAATAATTTTTTTTCACTTTTTGCATTACCTTCAAACTAAGAAATAATTCTCCAGAAAAATAAAAGTAGACCCTATGTCAAGAACATAGAGCCTTGGGGCGCCTGGGTGGCTCAGATGGTTAAGCGTCTGCCTTTGGCTCAGGTCATGATCCCGGGATCCCGGGATCGAGCCTCACATCGGGCTCCTGGCTCAGTGGGGAGCCTGCTTCTCCCTCTCCCTCTGCCTCTCTCCCTGCTCATGCTCTCTCTCTCTCTCTATCTCTGTGTCCTAAATGAATAAATAAAATCTTTAAGAAAAAAAAAAGAACATAGAACCTGGCCTAAAGACCATTTCCAGTTCATAGGATCTGGTAGATGACAGAAATTTCACAGCTGTTAAAAGTAGGGGGTAAAATCATTTTTCCTCCTCCACATTTTCAATCAAGTACTGATTATCACTGCTTATTATCACTTATAACAGTGACCCACCAAAAAATTCCATATCTGAGCCTTGCAATTTCTGCGGAAGACGTGAGAATGCAAGATCCAGACCTGAGTTTCACTGAGAAGAAACTTGTAGATTTTTGCAGGAAAGCAAAAATAAAACACAAAACAGGTATGTAATAATGGCGAGAAGGAAAAGGATCATCATTTTTATAAATAATTCAGAGTACACAGGGGCCTATCCCGAGGAAATCATACCAGAGTCTTTGAGAGAACTGAACTCCATCACTAAAGACAGGATCACTGGGAGCTGCCATTTTAACTTAAAGAAATTAATCGTGCAGGCTGAAACAGGCAGGGGTACCAGCCCGCTCTCCAGGAGTGCTGTCGGGGCTATGATACGCGAGGTTAAACCGGGGTACCCATTCAAAAGTGAAAGGTTAAATGGGCTATAAATATCCCATTAGAATGTTCAAATAAAAAAGGAAGCACTTCATCATTCTAGTGAAATCTGCAAATCAAAATACACTCACAACACACCACACAAACTCAAGTGGGCAGAACCACCAGTGGCCTAATTAGAAATAATTAAACTGACAGAGATGCCCAGACAACAAGCTGCTCTGTTCACTACAGGGAGACAGATTCTCAGAAGAGCGTACCAAGCAACTGAACCACAGACGGAGGAATCAAACTCCCCCCAGGAAGGCTGCCCCTCACTTCAGCGCCTCCCCGCACTGGACAAATGACCACACCAATAGCTCTCAATGTCACATGCAGTAAAATGAGGGGGCTGGGTTATATGACTTCCCAGTCCCCTCTCCAACTCTCTGAATCAGACTGAACCTACTTTGCGAAAATCATCACCTAAAAATTGTGTTATATTTCTAAATACCTGCAAGCTGACTAAACTATTCAATAATGGCATTAATTTCATCCCCAAATTTATACATAGCTTCCCCATATCCATCAGAAAAAGCACCTCCGACAGCATTTATCCAGCTATATTTACTCAAAATCGCCCCTAGCACCAGAAGAGACAAATGGACAATTCAAGTGGAATCTTTTTCTTACCATTTCGAGACACATCAAGTTCCACCAGCTGCATGAAGTTCGCTATTTCTGGAGGGAGCCGCTGAATTTCATTATCACTAAGTCCAAGCTTTCGTAATTTGACTAGCTGGAAAAATTGCTGAAAGACAAAATAGTTTCACATGGGTCTCACATATATTTGCAATGTAAACTTTCTGCCCAATATGAAATGTAAAAGAATGTCTTTTAAAAACCAGGGAGGATTGTACCAATATCAATTTCCTGATTTTGATATTGTAAAAGTCATGGAAAGACACTACTACTGGGATAAACTGGGCACAAAGGACATCTCTGTACTATTTTTACAACTTCCTATCAATCGACAATTATCTCAAAGTTTTTAAAAATGAGAATGGTAATTACTCCTTCAAACTATCCAGTGGGTGGTCACATTTTCTACTTATAGAAACTGATATTAAATCTGCAGTGTTCAATGAACATACGTAAAAATTAGAAAATATTTTTAGAAGACATTTTAATAGGAATTACTGTGCATCAGAAAATATATAAATATCCCACAAACGTGTAAAGGGAAAAAAAATTGGTTTTGACCAATCTAAAGCAGAGCCTGCCCTGAATACTTCCATTAACCATGGCACACTGAGCACATGCCTTTTCCCCCCACACCTTTTAAAACTGTACAGAAATGACACTAAAAGAATGTATACAGAAATGGATATAAATATAAAAATATGAAATAAATGCATGACGATAATTAATAATGAGAGGGGACAAGAAGTACACCAGACATGCCACAAAATCCTTGAAGCCAGAAAACAGATGAACAAATGGGAACTAACAAAAGAATCCAAACAAAGCTGAAATCCAAGCCTGTGGAGTGAGGAGGAGTCAACAGGAAATTGGGTCCAGGTGACCTCAGAGAAGGAAGGAGAACTAGTTGAAAATTTATATAAAAGAACAGTTAGGTCCCCATATCTTCTTCTCTACACTGCAAAGCCAGGCAGGGTACTGGAAATTTCTTCTCCAGAAGAGGTGACTCTAAAGCACAGCTGAGAACAGGGATGAGGCACCCTACTAAAAACAGGGGGACCAAGTCAAAGCCCGAGCAGTGAGATCCCACCCTCTTCCCACAGCCAACTTCCCAGGCATGAGAACAGACCCTACAGACTCGAATTATAGTAGAGAGAAGCCCCAGGTTACAAGCCCCACCCTTGCACACAGAGCTTCAGACCATCACCCCCCCCACCCCCCTCCCCTCCAAGTGTATGGATCTTTCATTTAAGCAAAGCCAGGGTTCTCTGGACACTTGAAGAAAGCACCTAACATGCAAGAGAGTACCTGTGTGCCCACACTTCAAATATGAAACAAATAGGATGTGAGAAAAAAACTTCATCAACCAAAAAATGTAACACCCTCAGAGAAATAAGAGAAAATGAAGCAACGTGATACCATAAAAAGCAAGCTTCAAAGAAGAATTAAGCTTTTAGAAATGAAAAAAAAATTGTAGGATTAATAAAGAATCCAATAAAAGAGGTGAAAAATAGTTAACAAACTCCTTTAGAAAGTAGAATAAAAAGACTACAAGACAGAGATGTGGGAGAGAAAAAGACAGGAAAATTCAAGGATCAGTCCCACAAAGTATGACATCCAACTAATAGGTATTCCAAAAAGGGAACACAGGGGGCTTCAGAACATGCATTTTTCTGGTTTGGAGAAGTCCACCACATGGCCAGTAAAATGAATGACAGGCATGTAAGAATACCAAGAAATATAAAATTTCAGAATGCCAGAAATAAGAAGATTCCAAAAGCTTCCAGAGACCAGGGGGTGGGTGTGGGGGGGTCATAATAAAGAACTGGGAATCAGAAAGGTGCTGGACTCCACAGCAGCCTTGAAAGTAAGAAGGCCTTGGAGCAATGTCTTCAAAATTCCAAAAAAACATTATTCCCAACCTAAAATTACATACCCAACCAAACCGTCAATCAAGTACGATGACAAAATAAAGACATTTTTAGACATGCATGGTCTCAAAAAAAAAAAAAATGTATCTTCCTTGCACCTCAGGAATCCATTAAATGTGAGCATAAATTTCAAAGGAGGAGGATCTGAGATCCAACTATCAGAGAAATCAACAAAACAGAGAGACAAAAGAAATTCCCAAGATAGAACAGTGAAGGGACTTCCAAGATGTCGGCTGACCAGCAGGCCCTGAGAGGGACCAGTCCACACTGCAGACAACAGGGAGGCTCCCACAGGAAAGATTTTTGGGGGCAAAACACAACATCTGTGGGATTATCTGATGTGTTTGAAAGTATCAAGAAGATTTGTTTACTGATAAATTAGAAACAAAGTAAGCAAAAAAGGAAGGAGATATTAATTTCAGGAAAAATACAAAGTATGAGAAGACATATTCATAATATAAATTTAAGACTTGGTTATGAAAAACACTTAGTCGTAATGTTTTAATAGCTACATATTGATAAAAACAAAATTTGTGTTACATCAATATTGAGAGGATGGAGAAGAAACCATGAGTGTTAAAGTCTCATCCTCCATAGAAAGAAAACAAAAGATAACTACAAAGTGAAAAAAAAAAATCAAACTAAAAGCAAGCTTAGCAATGTGGGGGCATACAGCAGTAGAAACAGCTAAGAGCTGGGGGTTCTCAAGAGCCAGAAACTTCAGACAGGGAAGGCAAGAGGCCACTCTTCTTCACTGTCACACTATGAGGCTTATTGGATTTTTTTAAAGAAAACTATTTGCATATATTACTTTGCTAAAAACAGAAATTGAATTTACAAAGGAAAAAGTCTCTATTAAGGTTACAGGTTGCTCCAAATGATAATTCTGAAAGACGCTAACATTTAATAAATGTCAGTTTTTTTGTTTTATTTATTTATTTGGTAAAAGAGACTGTATACGTCTATAATCAAAAAGAAGGCACTATCATTTGGGAAGCAGTACGGCAATACATGGAACATAAGTTTTCAAGTTCACTGACATTGTAATGATACTTTTGAGCATCTGTCCTTGTAATATAATTGAAAATAAGAAAAACAAGCTACAATGCATAAGATGTCTTTGCATTATCAACAAAAATGAAAAACTGGAAACATACATATCAAATAAGGGAAATGATTAGCATGTTATTAAATAATTCAATATTGAGTAAGCGACAGAAATGATTACTATAAAGGCCATATAACTTTAAAAAGACTTACAATGCAAATATAATTTTAAAAAGACAAAGATACGGGTACACTATGTAAAAGAGCATATGTGTATGTTGACAGGAAGGAAACACAAGAAAAAAAGTGATTTCAGGTGATAAGGAAAATACATAAACTTTATTTTTTAACAAAAAAGATATTTTTCAATAAAATGATGAATCTCAGCAAATGAATGCTACCAATTAGCTGTATAGGATAATGAAAGTGCTCAATGAAAGGACTAATCCTTTGGATTTCTTTAATCATACAGTTGAGGTTTAATTTCTTAAGGAAAGGTATTGAAATTTCTCGATGCTGGTTGTACAAAAGCATTAGGGGACACAAAAGCCATTCAAAAGAGTCACATATTTGAATAATTGAGCTTATGCCAATTGTTCAAAGAGGCTGACAGTTTCATAATGCATCAATGTGTTTACTCAAGCATGAAAAGCTCACTTTATTTTCCAGGAAAGATATAATAGCAACAGCACAAAACCATCACCAATTCCATACATTCAGGGGCCATTCAGAAATAATACAAGAAATCAAGTCCCTAAGGTACTTAGATCTGCAGTGAATAATAAGTTAGTTTTACGACTGTGGCAACAATAGCATACAAATCTCCACATCCCGTAGAAATCATAACAGCAGGCAAATTTAAGTTTTGTTCTGCATGTTAAAAGCATCCTCAAAGAGATTGTCACAAACACTACCTTCTTCAATTTGGGAAGCACATACCAGGTATCAAACAACCCTGACAGGTTCCCCAAAATGAAAACATTAATTCCTAAATCCTTCCCTCATTGCCCTGACGGGATCTTAATTTATCATCCAAATGCTTTAAAATAACTACTTTTTTATAAGGCGGACACAATGCCACTAAGACTTTATGAAATCCTCAAGTTTTCAACTTCCTCAGATAGTCGGGGCGGGGGAGAAAACCAACAAGCTATAAGCCCTCCTGCCTCCTCTTTGACATTAGCCAGGGCACAGGAAGAACAATTCACGTAGCTGTCTTGGCAGGGCGCCGCAGCACGGAGTGATCATGTGATGCAACACACAGACACCATTCTTCAACTATACCATGTTTGATTACAGCACACTGGCCCGCTTTAGAGGACACTGTGTACAATTACATGCAAAGGAACCCAAATTGCGTTGGCTCGTCATGCCACACCACAGGCTTCTTATAGCCATCCTTGTTTTTAGTAGATGCAGAGCCTATAATTTGGCTGTACAGTTCGTTTCCTTTTCCCATTCCCCACTTCTGACAAGATTCTTTTTCCCCTTCTTTTGGTAGAGTGTTAGTGACCCCCTTCTTCTTAGAAAGGGACATAGGAGTATTCCTGGGCTGCAGGGGTAGTTCAATTCACAAATCAATCAATGTGATACACCACATTAATAAAAGAAAGGATAAAAACCATATGATCCTCTCAATAGATGCAGAAGAAGCATTTGACAAAGTACAGCACCCATTCTTGATAAAAACCCTCAACAAAGTAGGGCTAAAGGGAACGTACCTCAATATCATAAAGGCCAGATATGAAAGACCCACAGCGAATATCATCCTCAATGGGGAAAACTGAGAGCTTTTCCCCTAAGGTCAGGAACACAAGGATGTCCACTCTTACCACTGTTATTTAACATAGTACTAGAAGTCCTAGCCTCAGCAATCAGACAACAAAAAGAAATAAAAGACATCCAAACTGGCAAAGAAGTAGTCAAACTTTTACTCTTCGCAGATGACATGATACTATATGTAGAAAACCCAAAAGACTCCACCAAAAAATTGCAAGAACTGATACAGGAATTCAAGAAAATGGCCGGATATAAAATCAATGCACAGAAGTCAGCTGCATTTCTATACACCTACAATGAAGCTGAAGAAAGAGAGATCAAGGAATTGATCCCATTTACAATTGCACCAAAA